GCTTAACTTATACCACAAACATTTCAACAAAGATAACACTAGAATCGAAGTCATTCTTGTCAGTTTAACCATTTAAAATATTGACATTTTAAAAGTGGAATCAAATAAAGTAGGATAAGTGCGCAAGCGCAGCGATTTATGATAATTTCTGTTTTGTCGCTAACTCTGAGAGGCTATTTACGTCAAGAAGTGTCAGTTACAACTATAAGATTGGATGTGATTTACCTACATTTGGTGTGGGGAACACGGTATTGGGACGAATCGATTGCAGTTTTCGAATCGAGTTGATTATTCGATCTTGTATTGTTTCTCGATATGATTTTGATTTTTTATTCAAAGTACTTGTAATATTCTTCCAAGAAATGATAGGTAGCAGCGAGTTGTTTAGCCTCTGTGCCAACCGTAAAGTCATATCCTATTAATATATTCCTAAATGTGAATGTTTGTGTATAATTGCATTCAGCTACTAAATTTGATACTTGCCAACTAGTCAAATACAATACTTTTTTCGAACTGCCAAATACGAGAGATTGTGTATTGTGACGTCACGTTTTTAAGCATCAAACAGCATAATTATTTCTTAAAAATTTGCTGGAAAAATACTAACATTAAGTTGGTCATAAGAGCAATTAATGAAAGTGTGATTATTTTTTAATATTTTATTGTCTTGAACATTCGAAATAAATTATTTTTGATTAAGGAATGTAACATTAAGGTGGTCATAAAACACCAATTAATGTAAGTGTGATTATTTTATTTATTTATTTATCTATTTATGCACAACACACAGACAGTACACATGAGAACACAAATATAAATAAATTGGAGGTACATAGGTACTACATATTCCCGTAGGAATCTCTTCCTGCAGTCCTTCGACAGGAAAAACGGTAAAAACAGAGACACTGTGCGTAACATGACATTAAATGTATTAAATAAATAGATCACAATAACATACATAAACCTATACATACTATTTTATAGTCTTGAACAGTCGAAATAATTTATTTTTGATTAAAGAATGTACCCAATTTCTAAATTAATCTGAATATCACAAAGGTTACATTTTGTCCCGATAATGTGGACAAACAAAGTCACTGTCATAAGCAAGTTCTACATAAACGACTATCGAACAACACCTTTCTCTATCGAAAATTTTCATTTCGACATTCGAAAGCACCTTCTTAGGGCCCTGATAAGCGGTGTTCACACGAACACATTATCAATATTTGCTTTGAAAGATTTTTAAGTAATTGCCTAAGTTAACGTGGTTAGCGGTAAACGAAACGTGTTGTGACTCCACATACTTGAATTTTGTCTACTTTAACTTATTTTTTAAAGAAACCGCTAAGTTATTATAGTCTTATGAACGTTCAATATTTAGTTTTTGAGTAAATGTACTGTGAGAATGTTTTAAAGTGTTAGAAATGTGTAGTTGTTATACCTAAGTTGCTTTTAAGGGAATATCTTGTATTCGTGTTAAAATTTTGTAATCGAATTTTTATTTTATTAAAATATTTTTTTTCATATTCACGCTTTTTATCCCCGAAGGGGTAGGCAGAGGTGAACATTATGCCACTGCACAATGTAACACCCACTTTTCATTATTTATTTAATGAGTCCCATGTAATAGAGGGTGAGCCTATTGTCATATACCGGGCACGATTCCAGACTCCGTGCTTAGTAGCACGGAGTCTGCAATCGTGCCCGGTGCCCTGAGAATTTAAAAAAAACCCAGTATTACTTTGCCCGACCCGGGAATCGAACCCGTGATCCCTTGCTCGGCAGTCGCACTTGCGACCACTCGGCCAACGAGGCAGTAACATATTTTATCCTTCATTTCTTTTTTTCAATTAATTTAGCTACTGACTGAAATCTAATATGTTCCAATCCAACTGTTTTACATTAACTTGCTCCACTCAAGGCAGAAAGTAAGAAAATATAGTAAAAAGCCATTCTAAGTATCCCTTGTAATATTTTTCAATATATCTCTAAAATGATTGAGTCCGATTTAAAAAAAAAAACGCACCAAAAAGTTTGTAAACCAACCCATCGCGTGTCCACACCACATAAGGTTGGCAACACTGACTAATTGTGTTACCAACTTACAACCAAGCGATCCATTTCCGCTTTTACCATTTCTAAGTGGCTTCCGGTCGTTTTTAATACAAATAGTCGAGAGATTTAAAATGGCCTGAATTAAGGTTGTATTGTGGCACTCTTTGAAAAAGTTTAGTATGTATTTCGATTTGAAGGATCTCGGGTTCCATTTCCGGGTGATAGTGTACTGTAAAGGTTAATGAGTTTAAAAAAAATCACAGTAACAGCACGGAGCATAGAAATATATATGTCAACAGGCTCACCCCCATTTGATGGAACTCATAACATAAATAGTGAAAAGTGCGTGTTACGTAACACAGTGACATTAAGTGCCGTAATGTACACCTCTGCCTACCTCTTCGGGGATAAAAGGCGTGACGTTATGTTATATTATAATTATGTATTAATGCAAGCATTTTAGCAACAGTTGAGTAGAATACATTTGCCATTAGCTCTACTACTCATACGAGTATTATTTATTTGACACTAGCTTTTACCCGCAGTTTCACTCGCGTCACAAAAGGATAAAAAGGCCATCTTTACCAATTCTTTTGTTTTCCCTCGGGAATATCAAATTTTTCCGGGATTAAAAGTACCCTATTATTTAATCCAGCCTTACTAGAATCCAGAGGAACAAACAAACAAACAAACTCACTTTCCGATTTATAATAATAGTAAGGATAAACCGGACAGAAGGGCTGTCTGATACTTTGATAAACGTGTAAACTATGGCAAATCGTTTTATGAAGAGGAACTATGTCTATCGCTGAGTTCATCGCGTAATTTACTGAGACACATTTCACATTATTTCTTTAGCTCTTAAACATAATCCAAGTTCCTAAATCTTCTACTTGGTATAAAAACTAAATCTTAATTACATAAAATAGCATAACTAAGTACAACTTCATACCACATTCCCGTCAAGCTTCCTCATGCGAACCGCTAAGGAATAGAATTCCTTGCCAGAGGCTGTGTTTCCCGTCAAATATGACTTGGGTGTCTTCAAGTCCCGAGTAAACAGGTTGCTCATAGGTAGGCGTGCTCCATCGTCGGCCACATCATCGCTTACCATCAGGCGAGATGGTGGTCAAACGTCGCCCTATAAAGTGTAAAAAAAAACTTAAAACAGTTAAACCATACCTGAACAAATCTTAGCAATTAAAACATCCAACAAGTGCTAATTAAACCTCATAGAAGCAAAAAAGGTTCACAATATAAGAAGGTTTTCATCAAGCACCATTGACCTCGCTACAGGGACTTATTACGTCACAAATCCTATCTAATTACACGATGACGTAAACAACGTTCCCTCCTCTATTTATCCGTTGAATGTACTACCCCGACGGAACTCCGGTGCACGTGCAACACTCAAGGTCCTACAACCCTTTACACATCCTCTCAAGCTTGCAATTAAAACGAAAAACAGAACGAAACAACGCCATACTTATTCAACAAGCCAGAAAGAGACAACACGCCTCATTTACCCAAGCACTTTTATTTCCACTTGCACTTGAGAGGTCGTCGGCCAATCAACGGTCGTGCCGCGCCCGCCTCGCATTGGTCCGTTTGAATAGAGAATATTTTTTCGAAAAATGGAACAAAAGCCGAGGGTAGGTAATAGCGAGTTTTGTTTTATTCAAGTGGCATTTCGCATTTGAGTGGAGGAGGCCGCATCGAGCGGACGTCTCGACTTTTAATTACCTTATATTTTTGCTATTGTTTCTTTGAGGACTCTCGTGTGTTAAGCTGGCTTTTCATTTTATGATGTTCAACATTGTTATTTTATTACACGGAACTCGTTTAGTACTTCAGTGTGGGGGCTTATTACAAAACAAGTAAATTAGCTATGTTTATTTCTTAGTAACCACTATCCTGTGTTTGTCAGGAACTGTCGACATTCAAGTGTTTGTGCTGCGACTACGGGATGCATTTCACTCTTTGTAGTTTGCGTAAAGGATTGTGTATGTTGTATCCTGCTGGATATTTGTACTTACATTGTCGAATGCTAATCAGTTAATGATTTAAAGAGAATAGTAATAATAGTTTACTAAAGGCTTTGAAAACTTACAGACTGATGGTTATGCAGAAACTTCACATTTCTTTATAATTATAGTTTAGGTACCCCAAATTTAAAACTGTATATTAAGTATTTTATGAAACTCTTTCGTTCAAAATATTTGGTTCAAATTTTGATTGTAGATGTTGTATTGATTGAATTTATAAAAAATGGATATGTCCGAAAATATGAGTTTAAGATAGATTTTTAATTTCGGCCATGATTTTAAACAAACTCCATCAATAGTTCTCTCCAATCTTCGCCTTACCTAATTACACTTTAACCAATTTACTGTCTGTCTCCCCCGCCAAGGGCGGCCTTTGTCTAGCAGTGGGTATTTCCGGCTGTTGACAATGATGATGAATTAAACATTTTTTTTAAGGCATAAGCCGGTAAACGAGCAGATGAATCACCTGATGGTAGGCAATCGGCGTCGCCCATGGACATCTGGAACACCAGAGGCGTTACAAGTGCGTTACCGGCCTTTTGGGGATTAGGAGTTTGAGGATCGTTGGGGATTTAGGAAATTGGGCAGATTGGGGAAGGGGAGGGTAATTGGGCCTCCGGTAACCTCTCTCACACGACGAAACACAACGGAAGCGTTGATTCACGTCGGTTTTCTGTGAGGCCGTGGTATCACTCCGGTCTAGCCGGCGCATTCGTGTCGAAGCATGGCTCTCGCACACATATACACACATATTTCGCTCAGACAAGGTGTAGTGTCTACGTCTTAGCGGTTGGACGCTTTCATAATCGTTTTTGAAGTCATATCGTGCATATTGTGGATATAAATAAGAATATAAATAATTAAATAAATACTCATTCAAATTTCTCTTCTTTACAGGAACCTAGCCGCTCCCCGTCCACCGACGCAGCTCGGTAACACGTCACTGGAAACCTTCACGGCGCTGCACAAAGAGAATTGCCACAGACTAGAGTTCCTGGTTGAACGACAGAAACAACTGTGCATGCTGTCTGATACTATGATTAAGGTGAGACTATGAGACTATAGATTTTACATAACATCACATCTTTTATCCCCGATGGAGTAGGCGGAGGTGCTAATTACTCACTATTTTATATTATGAGTCTCATGGAATAGGGCGTGACCTTATTGCCATATACCGGGCACAATTCCAGACTCCGTGCTACCACTGAGAATTTATAAAAACCCAGTAATACTTTGTCCGATTCGGGGATTGAACCCGAGAACCCTTGCCGACAAGTGCGACTGCCGGCACTTGCGACCACTTGGTCAACGAGTCACAATTTTTTATAGATCAAAAAGGTAAGCGATGGATTACCTGATGGTAAACAATCGCCATCGCCTATAGAAACCGCAATATTAGAGGATATACTAGTGTGTTGTGGCTTCCTTTAGAGGAGATGAATACAGCGAAATATAATATAGGCAACGAATACGGTTGTTTCATGCCTTGTCTTTGTGAGACTGTGGTGTCAGTCTACTCGAGCCATCCCTTATTTGATATTGATTTAGTAGCGATGTGGTGATTTTAAAATCAAGTGAAGTAAATAATATTAAGTTGATTACTAACGAATACTAATCTATTAAAAAAAGAATGGAATGCAACACCGTGAGTGAGATAGATATAATACAGTGTGTGTTAAATTAGCAAAAACATCCTTATTCTGTCAACTTTTAGGTTAATACTCAAAAACACAATTTTGTTATACTTCAAAGTTTTTTTTTATGGCATAAGCCGGTAAACGAGCAGACGGATTACCTGATGGTAAGCAATCGGCGTCGCCCATGGACACCTGGAACACTAGAGGCGTTACAAGTGCGTTACCGGCTTTTTGGGGATTAGGAGTTTGAGGATCGTTGGGGATTCAGGAATTGGGGAGATTGGGGAAGGGGAGGGTAATTGGGCCTCCGGTAACCTCACTCACACGACGAAACACAACGCAAGCGTTGCTTCACGTCGGCTTTCTGTGAGGCCGTAGTATCACTCCGGTCGGGCAAGCCCATTCGTGCCGAAGCATGGCTCTCTCACACTTAAAGTATATGTGTATTATTTTATTGTGCCCTAGAAAAACGTGTACTCTTAAACAAGTCGAGATCGTAAATAAATTGCATATGCAAGTCCGTGCATAAACAATGATTAGCTCCAATACTTGTGTTATTGTGTGGGGTAGTTGCATGGATGATAGAGTGAATGGAGGGATTGTAACTGTGTCCAATTTCGGAAGACAGAGACGTTGAGAGTCATGGTTTATCGGTAGATTTAAAATTATATTATCACCTAAGTATATTTGTTCTACATGGGCTATATAATCGAAAATTAAATTCATTTGTAATGTAAATTAAATGTAAATTTCACTACATTGTGTTATAATCTAGGTTAAAACGTTAAAGGTGTCGGTTAGCTACTCCGATAGCTAACTTTAAGAAATGGACCGTACGCAATTCTTTGTATAATAATAAAATGGCCAGGTGGCAATTAAAATGTAATATTAAGGAGAATTTTTGCATGCAAATATTAAACAAAGAATAAAGTACAACATTTATTGAACTCCATTGACTCACGACTCCGTGTAAATCGCCTACGCTTGTCATTTCGAGTCGGAAAGTAAGTCAGTTTAATCCTGCCTGCATAAATAACTCGATTAGCTAGAGGTGCTCATACGTGAAAGGAGTTAAGGCTTGGTTTCACACTCCATTCCATATAGCTTTAGGGTTCCATACTCGAACGATAAACACCCCTATGTGATTTTTGTCGCCTTATGAGTGAAGTTACTGCAGGCGAATCTCAAAAATACCAATAACGAACTTGCGTTGCGCTCATTCATTGACCTCTCTACTTGTTTGCCATTATATGCTATAAAAAAGGCTCTATTATAGCTCTATTACATTATATTCTGTCTGTTATCAGGTTGTTTGTAGGTAAAATATATCAAAGTCAAAGCATTTATTTCCATTAAACTGTCAAACACCAAGCGGTCACTGGTGACCGCAACTGCAAATTGTTCTATAATTGTGTCTACAAAACCGGTACTCGACGAGTTAAACCGTAATATGGTACTTTTGAAACGTCAACAAATACAAAATAAATAACAGTCTTTCAGTCTGTCCGTCAGTGAAGCTAGGTGCTCATTTCAAAATGTAGATTTGAATAGAGAAGAACGAGCAAGAAACTCCATCCATCAAATATTTTTTTACATGGTAATGGTATCCTTTCGTGCGGGATTCTAATACAAACTTGGTCAGCTTTTTATACTCATATAGTATTTGTCCTGCCATAATACCTCTAATTTAGAAGCTGATTTGATGACGTTTGAGACCCTACAACTAAATTTGTGCTGTTGCTTGTAATATTATTGGAATCTGTCGTTTCGCTCGTTCAAACAGATTACTTTGACAGTCCTTTAGCAGAGTAGATTACATTTTGTTTCATGATGCAGCATACAGCAGCATGTCGTAAGAGTCGACTATTGGCTTAAATGAATGATTAATCTCAATTCAAAATTTGGAATAGGGATCAATATTCGTTTTCTGTCTAAAACGTAGATTGTTTCGAAAATTTCGTCCGTAATTGGTTTTTTATTTTGAGAAGGGAAATCATCAAATGACTTCTCTAGCCTTGGGTTAGGCAGTATCAGACTCTTACTGACTGAAAACCACCCCGTTCCTACTCCTACTCTTCGAACCGGAGCCCCGGCAACCCGTTAGGCCTTACGCGGCTCCGTATCGGGCATCAGCCCTACTGGGCCCCATCACACAACCTTTGGATGGATTTTTTGAAAAGAATCTGGGAATAGGTGGTAGATGCACAATAAAAGAAAACCAAAGTAGAAGAAAAACAATAAAAAAAAACAAATTAAACAATCAATAAAACTTACAGACTACATATAATACATACTAAAATGGTATGAAGGCAATACATAAACATAACATCACGCATTTTATCCCCGAAGGGGTAGGCAGAGGTGCACATTACGGCACTTAATGCCACTGTACAATGTAACACCCACTTTTAACCATTTATGTTATGAGTCCCATGTCATAGGGGGTGAGCCTATTGCCATATACCGGGCACCACTGAGATTTTTAAAAACCCAGTAATACTTTGCCCGATCCGGGAATCGAACCCGAGACCCCTTGCCCGGCCAGTCGCACTTGTGACAACTCTGCCAACGAGGCAGCATAGTATGTGCAATACTATGTAATACATATATAAAATGTAAGTTAAATGCATCTTTAGCTACTAATATTCATATAGTAGAACAACTCTATAGAACTGGTATGCAATTAAATTGAACTGATGAATAAAAGTCTAATGGAACTAAAGGAACTACTTAATATTCGATGCAGCTTTTATGAAGTAACATTATAAGATTGCTATAAAATCATACTATTATCGGGAATAAAACTGTAGTTTGTCTTACGCGTTTTAAATGTGAAGGAATGTTTTATAATAAGAAATTTGATTTTGTTATGTAATTTTAAGAATACCTTTTTGAATTTCGATGACAGTGATGCCTATATTGCCTGACAAACTGGTTGATTCGGTAATTCCACTTTTGTAAGGGTCTTTGTTTGGCAGTGAACAAGCAGGTGTGCATTATATAAGGCTTTTTGTGTGTGTATTACTTTACTCATATTTTTAAGTACTGACAGTTTACATTTGTTTTTTCGTATTTATCACATTACACGTTTTTAATATTTTTTTTATTTGTTTATAATATGTACATACGTCCTACTATGCGCTCTAAATTGCTTAGTATTATGTCAAATATTGCTTCTCAGTAAGCGAATTACGTGTCTGTTTTTCGATTATTTTAGATTCATGAGAGATAAGGATATTCTAAATATATATTATAATGTCATGCCTTTTATCCCTGAAAGTATAGGCAGAGCTGCACACTACGGCATTTAATGCCACTGTACAATGTAACACCCATTTTTCATTATTTATGTTACGTGTTCCATGTATTTGGGGGTGAGCCTATTGCTATATACCGGGCACATTTTCAGTCTCCGTGCTGCTACTGACACTTCTTTTTTTAAACCCATTATATACTTTGCCTTACCCGGGAATCGAACCCCTTGTCCGGCAGTCGCACTTGTAACCACTCGGTCAACGACACAGCCAATTATAAATGACTAAATATAATACCCACGGATAGCCATAACATTAGGTTACCAAAAGTAACATTTACGAGCGCATAAAAGAACTGGCATCCTAACTTCATTTAATGACAATTTTATTTCAGTGAATAAAACATACAATTATTATTCGCAATACTCGTTAATTCGATCGTAAAGTTAAATCTTAACGATTTCTCAGTTAATTGAGATCGCTACGTAGATATTGTAAGAATTATTGAATTAATCGGTATGATTTATCGGTAAGTCGGTTTAAATAAACGGCTGTATGAGTTATATCGATATTTTAATTATTGTAGGTGTTGTTTCGTTACATTTTAATGTACCTAATGGTAACTGGTGTTGTGAATGCTAAAGTTCGTTTGATACTGATGGAGTTGTGTGGAAAGATCGAGTTCTGTTTGATTTTTTTTTAGAGATGTCTGTATTCAGACCGCTAAGGATGAGGCCTAATAGGGCTGATGCCGATACGGAGCCGCGGAGGACTTAACGGGCTGCCGGGGCTCCGGCGCGATGGGCTGGAATAGGAACGGGGTGGTTTTTAGTCAGTAAGAGTCTGACACTCCTTCCCGCCTCACCCACTCCAGGTGGGATTAATTCGATGTAAAGTAATTCGATGATTTTCCTACCTTAAAAAAAGAGGTGTCTATATTATAAATAGCAGATTATCTGATACTTTGACTGAAATGCCTTCTTTGATGTTTGCAATGATTCTAGTAAAGCGTTTGATAAAATCTTTTTTAATGTAACTCAGAAGTTTCTTTTATATTTTAAAAGTGACCGCTTCTTAAATAACAATGTTTTTATACTCCGCGTAAGAGCTTAAGCAGCCTTTATGAGTATAATTTGGAATTTTACTGCCCTCAACGATATAAGATTATGATGTGATACGAATTTTCATTGCTATTTGATGGTCAAAAGTTTTTTTACGCTAAAATAAAAGTTAGCAACTGTATATCTGTATAAAATGGAGAATTTTAATGTAATGAGAAGGTGTAGTTTTAGAATAAATTAGGTTAAGTGTTTAAGTTTTTCCAAATAATCAAAAAGTATTAAGATATTTATCTTATTGATATTTATGAAATAATATTTGAACATTTTCATACACACGTGTCTAAATCACATCATGATAATATAATAAATGGGAAGAATGGATGAAAAACTCTTGTCTGTCGATATATGAGACAATAAAAAACATTATGTCTCGCGTAGATCTGAGTTCCGACAGTTCACAGTGAAAGAGATTAAAAAATAATCTCTAAATAATACAGTAAAAGAGATTAAAAAATAATCTCTTTTACTGTGAACTGTCGGAACTTCGGTCGGTGCTCTTATTGCGTTGAGCCCAAGTAGCTCGGGAATAGAGAAGGCAGAAGAAGAATATTGTTAAAAGCTTGGCCGAATTCTTAAACATACAAATTGTCACGTTTGTGAACGGGCGCCGTCAACTAGGACTGGTCAGCTCCAATAATACAGTTTTATTGTCTTTAAGGTTATTTTATCTTTAGATCTCTTAGACTGGATTTTGGTGTTACATTGTTCTGCACCAACAAAACTATGTAACTAGAGAATTTGTATTGTGAACCTGATTGGATAATAGAAACCTATGGAGTTTCTTGCTCGTTCTTCTCCATAGGAATCTACACTTTGGAATGAGCAAATAACTTCACTTTCAAATTATTTGTTGACATTCAAAAGTGCCCTCTTTGTCTAATTTAAATAAATAATTTAGCTTTTGACTTTCTTTAAATTATTTCAAAGGATTTTTGTTTTAATAAGCCTTATTACTGATTCCAGGTCCTGCAGACTGGTGCCCAACAAGCAGTGGAAGAGTGTCAGCACCAGTTCCGACACAGCCGGTGGAATTGCAGTACTGTTGAAAATTCTACTGATATCTTCGGCGGTGTGCTTAAGTTCAGTAAGTATTAATGTGAAGATAGAAAATTCATTATGATTAGGCAAAAGTTTTGGATATTTGGTGTCAATTATCTCAACTCTGAGAGTTTCTAACTGATAGATAACGTGTAGTTAAGACCAATATGACCTGGTCATAGACAGACCAGGGGGCTTACTCTTGAATCCAGTTCCAATCGATCGACATTAGTGTAGTGACATTACGCACTTTTAAGTTGCAACACTAGAGGCCATTGCATCCGTATTGTGAGGATATTTAATGAACTAAGTGGTATTGAGTTTGACTTCTATATTCCGTACTCTGAATGCTATTTTAACTATTACGATAGGGGTTGTATAGTTTTGATATTGAATAATGATTGAGATTTTATTGGATTGAAATAACATAAATATTAAGATTGGTTTCAAGAATTGTTAGGCATTTTGGGGATTATAGAGACAATAAATGATTTTTTCCATATTCCCACGATAATGATGGTGATGAACGATGTGGTATATTTACGACGAAATAAGGCACTTATATCCGTGTACAAAGTCGTAAGCAGAGTAAATAAATTGGTGTACTTACGTTCTTTAGTTTCTGGCATGACCAAAATTGACGGATAGTTTTTCTATTACAATCATTTGTAAAACCTTCGTGAGAGATACTAAATTAATTAATATGTTTTTGGGCTTACTCACGTAATTATTCGACGACCATCGACGCGGCGACTGCAGTAGCATGAAGTGCAATAGCAGCGCGATAGTCCCCGCGTGAGTAAGCCGAACAACATAATAATTCATTCTAAAACCCCCTATAAATCCTACTCACATAAATAATAATAAAGAATAGCAATCATCACTCAAGTTTGAAATGATTGCTGCATGCCCATGTGTTGAAGTGGGTTTACGTAAGAGGGTGTCAGTCAACGCCGATGTTTATCTTCCGACAATACAGTCTGGAAGTAGTTTACTGAATTGTGTTAGGGTACAATATACAATAGATTGTTATTTTGTATTTGCTTAAGGGATTTTTTCGATCTCATTATTTTATGCTTTGTTGGCCGAGTGGTCGCAAGTGCAACTGCCGGGCAAGGGGTTTCGGGTTCGATTCCCGGGTCGGGCAAAGTATTACTGGGTTTTTAAAAAAAATCTCAGTAGTAGCATGAAGTCTGGAATTGTGCCCGGTATATGTCTCACCCCCTATTATATGGGACTCGTAACATAAATAGTGAAAAGTAGTTGTTACATTGTACAGTGGTATAATGTGCACCTCTGTCTACACCTTCGGGGATAAAAGGCGTGGTGTTATTTTTTATGTTATTACTTCATTAATGCTTCGTTTTATGACCGTCTCCTAAATTTAAAGAAACCTCTAAGCAAAGGTAAATGACACTTAACGTTATTTTGATTTTTGTCAAGTAAGAGGTCAGTTTAGATGCTACTTCAAGTTTTAGTTTAGTGACAGTTTAAAAGAAAATGAAAATCTTTGGCTCTGAATGCATTTTTAGCTATAGTCTCGTTCTTTGTCAATTTTCGTGGAAACGTTAGAATGTTTTTTTTTCTTAAGAGATTTGTTGGAGTCACATTTGATGTGAAACCTATTATTGAATTTCTAAATGGAAGTTAGAGTCAATGAGTAGATAATGTTGGTCAAGCAAATAAAAAGAAAGAAGTTGCCCAATATGAATTTAGGATTCTGTTGTCTGCGATCTATGGTACACTACAACTGGTAAGTTCATGAATGGCTTTACTTGCACTTTTCTAGACACCGAGCTATGTCCAAAATTTCTGTGGAATAAGCTCTTGGACTAAATTTCAAGATTATCGATCACCTTTCCCTTCCCATATCCATTAGTGTAAAGAGAAGATGCACAAAGACATGCACTTACTTTACTGTTGTTCTTACAAACAAACGAGAATCTGAGCATACTATTTGACGGGTTCTTCCGTTGCTGATCAAAATCAAAGTTTGTGTATAAGTTTACATCAAGACCAATTTCATAGAACTTCATCGTCTTAGACGTGAAATGTTTATTTTCAAATGTCGATTACTCGGTCTGGGTGTTGTTGATGGAGCAGCTCAGGTTGTTTACTGTAAAGTACTACAACGTAACCAGCTTCGTTGACCTTCCATTCCCCTCTGCTCCTTTAGCTGCACGGGTGTCAAGTTCTATTTGTATGCCTTTTAAGGGATCTAATTCATTGGTTGCATCAAAGATTACTGGTCAACGAACTTCTGCGTAGATTTTCTGTTTCGTTTTTAGAATTTCAATCGATTTAGCGGAATTTGCTTTTGTACCATGTTTTTGTTCCGTACCTACATCTGTCTTGGGTATTGTTTTGAAAATGTTGAGTCAACGTTTTGCATTTTGCAATGCGAGAAGAAATAACAATGGAATTATCTTGAGAATTCAATAGACATCTGGTGTGCGTAGACAAAGAAGTGTAAAACATTTAACAATTAATACATACATTCTTCTAAGTTATTCTCTTATTAGCCAGTAGGTGTTACAATAGGCAGTAGTTGTTTCAATATATCTCTATCCATGTTGTTATCTGTTTCCACCATATTATTAAGTGGGTATTTTTCCATTCAAGTCAAGTTAGTCAAGTTATTCGACTTTACATTGTTGTGGCCACTTTATTGTCACTACATTTTGTTAACACGTTAACACGGCATTGGCTACTGTTGGTTAGCGAATAATTTGCCTTTAACAGTTGTCTGTCGGCAGTGAAATATGCAACGGTTTTACTACTTTCTTAATATTTAAACTCGCTTCCCAGTTTATTTGCATAGTCTTAAGCTATTTCTTACTAGGCTAGTTGTGTTACTAAATCATTATTTATTTATGTTTTACCACATTCTTTCAGAATCTCGTGAATCAGCCTTCGTGCATGCTCTGTCAGCGGCGGCGTTGGCGCATGCAGTGGCCCGCGCGTGCTCTCGTGGTGAACTCAATGAGTGCTCCTGCGACTCTCGCGTCAGAAAACGTACGCCTAGGCACTGGCAATGGGGAGGGTGTTCTGAAGTAAGTTTTTTGGAATGTTATGATAGATTACTGATTGATGTTATTGGAGGCGGAAATTTTTTAACGTGTCTAACAATGAGTTTTTTTTGGCATAAGCCGATAAATGAGCAGATGGATCACCTGATGGTAAGCAATCGGCGTCGCCCATGGACACCTGGAATACCAAAGGCATTACAAGTACGTTACCGGCCTTTTGGGGATTAGGAGTTTAAGGATCGTTGGGGATTCAGGAATTGGGAAGATTGGGGAAGGGGAGGGTAATTGAGCCTCCGGTAACCTCACACACACGACGAAACACAATGCAAGCGTTGCTTCACGTCGGCACGTGGGTTTACCGTAAGGCCGTAGGATCACTCCGGTCGAGCCGGGCCATTCGTGCCGAAGCAATGCTTTCCTACACTTAGAACACGACTGCGACAAGATCAACGAATTAACAGCTTGTATTTCAAAAATTGTATGCGTTTGTTTGCAAACAGTTACGTGCTGGTGATACTGATTATATTTTACAACTAATAAATATCTACAACTGACAAACCTTTGGATAACTTTTTGGGCTTCTGTGCTAAGTATGAGATTGTTGTTAAATGAATACTTTTTACAATTTCCAGGATATTAGATATGGGGAGATGTTCAGCAAAGATTTCTCTGATTCCAAAGAAGACAAGAACACTGATGAAGGACTGGTGAACCTGCACAACAATGAGGCTGGACGACGGGTAGGTTTAGTACTGTTTAAATGTACGAGTGGTGTAGTCCACCATGATCTTTTTTATCATGGTGATATGAGTAGTTTTTATGCAGCAATAGTCAATAGTGTTTTATCTCAACCGATATGCTAATAAGATTTGTTGTATAAAAAGAAAAAAAATGGAAAACGTTTATAAAATCAACCATAAATACTTAATCGTAAATGGTGTTAACATTTTACAGGCGGTTCGCGGTCGTATGCAGCGTGTATGCAAATGCCACGGTATGTCCGGATCTTGCTCAGTTCGTGTCTGCTGGCGTCGTCTGCCGCAACTGCGCATGATTGGTGATGCATTGTCCACGAGATATGAAGGGGCCTCCCATGTAAAGGTTGGTCAAGTTAGTTGCCATTTTTATTATTATTTTTTGTAGTAATTTTCTCTAGTTATATCCATTTAATTATAACACTAAGTCTAATTTATTTACAACTAGCGACCCGCCCCGGCTTCGCACGGGTGCAATATGCATGTATTATACATACAAACCTTCCTTAAGAATCACTATATCTATTAAAAAAAACCGTATCAAAATCCCTTGCGTAGTTTTAAAGATCTAAGCATACATACGGACATACAGCGAAAGCTACTTTGTTTTATACTATGTATTGATTGATACATACAAAATTACAACATAACTAGTAACCATCTAGTAACCAACATATGTATACCTACATATGTATATCTACTACCCGGCTCAAACATAAATTGGATTAGATGGCAATTTGTTAGTTTCAATTTTAATGACACTTATTGGTCGATCTCAGAATTATATTTGTAAAAGAAAGCTGATTCCTCTTTGATTGATTCTAGGTCTACATAAATCAGTGATATTTAACTTACGATTTCAGGTGGTCGAACGCAAGCGAGGCAAGAATATAAGAAAGCTGAGGCCATTACACATGGACATGAAGAAACCTAACAAGACTGATCTCGTGTACTTGGAGGATTCGCCAGACTATTGTGAACCTAATGACGAGTAAGTACTAGGTTTTAAGGATCAATTCCTATGCAAAATAAAGGTCGTTCTCAAGGAAGTTGTAGTTTTAACTAAATGTTCATGACATATTTGTTCCTAAAAAGATGGCTCTGTTTTTTTCTATATTAAGACTTAAAATTAGGAGTTCTCAGGGACTCATACTAGGCCCATTCCATTTTTATATTCTAAAAAAATGATTCTTGTCCATAGGCTCGGCATTTTAGGCACTCGTGGCCGTACTTGCAACAGAACGTCAGCTGGTCTCGATGGCTGTCGCCTACTATGCTGTGGACGAGGATACCAAACCAGGGTGAGAGATCACGAAGAAAAATGCAGATGCCGTTTCGTCTGGTGTTGCAAAGTTCACTGCGAAATCTGTCGGTTTAAGCGAGACCATCACGTTTGTAATTAAAGGAAGTTTTAATTGGCAAGAAGTCTGTGTAACGGCCGGTTTTACAGCCTCTAGATAACCATTATCTACCAGATAAATTTCAAATGGAAGAGCAAATAAATATTGAATACTCATCAGATAAAATCATGAATATTGGGAGAGTTGTGGAACTGGCCCTTAAGTATTAGTAGATTTGCAATGATGCCAATGTTAATTAAGATATAGTTGAGGAGACTAATACGAATTGAAAGAGGCTTTTGGATTTAGTTGAGTTTATTTAAGTTGGTGGCAAAGATATGATGAAAGAGGTTGGATATGTTTTAGGTACTGCTGTAATGTCTAATGATGCAGTAAGTAAGGACGTTAAAAAGGGGGACATAATATCACTTACAAATGATTGAAGCACCAAAATATCAGTGGTTTTTTATGAGTGCGTGTGTAATGGGTTACCACGTTACCAGATTTGAAAAAATGACAGATACTCCTTCGTGTCAATGTGTGTATGTTCTGCGTATAAGTCTATAGTAGCCAGGTGCCACAGTCGTTGTTTCAAGAGACAGTGTTCGCCTCTTTTCAACGTCCTTGGTAGTAAGCATTAAAGAAGGAAGAAGCAATATTTTAACACTGAATTTTATAAATAACCTAAAGATTTTTTTAAGAAGACTAGTAAAGTAACATCAGTACGAATAAATGATAACAATAATATGACCTAATTTGAACGAAACCTTATTTGATTTCATAAGCTAAATGAAGCTACTAAGATCTATATGAAGATACTCGCAGAACATTTTTGCCTTTTGCATCATAAATTTTTTATAACGCTCTCTTCAAAATTTCAATCTGATTCTGTTATTTACTACGCCACAATCATTTCTGATTTAATTGTGTAAAAATCAGTGAGTCCAATAAAGTTCATTTTTGTTAAGTTTAATCATAATTTTGAGAAATAAAATTGTTCTACGCTTGTAGCCTAGAAGAAGGGCTTAGTACAAGGTTGTTTTACGTTTACAGAAATAAACACACGTTCGGTGCTCTGATTGGCCGGCTACAATGAACCAACCAATTAGAGCGCCGAACTTATTCTCGTTTCGATTACTTCTAACCCAAATCAAACTCGTAATAGGCCTCAGTTCAGTAAAGATTGTGGAATAATTGCAATTTGTAATTTCTGTAACGTTTTCCAAATATTTTGCGACCGCCATCATAAATGTTGGATGTAAAATTTTCATTAATTATTATTAATTAACAAATTAACAGAATCTTATTATAAAACGCTGACTGATTATTAATTTTAATTTAGTTTTTAGATAACATTTAATTTTCTGAAGATTAAGCTTTAAAATTATTTACAGTATTACTAACTTATTTTATTTTTTAAATGTACAAAGTTGTATATAGCGCTTTTGTTGATATTCTAATAACTGTAGACTAAGGATCAAGGCATTATCTTCTTATTTATGTGCCGTATGTAAATATTAATAATATTTTAATTGTGTACCTTACACATATTGATTTTCTACCTCATGAGGAAGATGATTTCGTTCATGCTATGATATAATTATTATAAATTATTTTAAGAACAATAAGCAGTTTTTTGTACGGTATAGACGTAGTATTTCATTATGGACTTCAAACTCTATTGCAAAATGATAAAGTTTAAAATCTATAATTGAAAGTTCATTCGTTTCTTCTTATCTCCCATATCCAAAACTACCACCTTCAAGATCTTCAAGTACAGTTTTGGTAAAATGAACCATATTGACTATGACTTTTGGTATTACTATTCTTTGACTAGATTTCATAGGACTGCTTCCAAGATCGTCAGTTGTAAATATTATACCTAGTAAGCTAGTGTTAGTAACTTATTGTGTTAGGAATGTGATAGCTTTATTCATTTTAGTGATAATTTCTTCTACGAAATCTTTGATAATGTAACCTTCGATGTTATTTTGTAAATACTCCATAGTGATATTATGTAAAATATATAGTTGTATCATGTGTTTAGCTTAAGGATTCTGCTTTTCTCGAAGTTCTATCTTTTTAACTGGATTTTTGTTATCTGTGTCGACTACTACATTTATTTCATCAGCAGATGTAAAATTTTCTTCTGTATTGTCTATATTATTTTTATTGGCTAATTTATCTTTATCTACTGACATTTTTAGATCATTCTCATTGTCTTTGTTTTCATAGAACTCCGAGAAAGTTGTAATCATACAAATTTTTACACTTGCCAACTTTAATACTACCTATATAACGTCAAATGTAAGAAAATCATCGTCTACTGTAACTTAGTGTTAAGTGATTTTACTCATTGACTCAAACGTATCACCAATGATATTTAAGTACTTAATATTTATGTAGAAATCGAAATCTATGTTAACACAGTATTAGTTAACGATAATTTGTAGAATGTCGCGTTCATTGAAGATTTAAAAAGCGATGCTTCTCGAACCCAACGTATTCAATGTTCTTTCTATGCAAAAAGGTCGTGCAACCTATAATCTAATGCCAGCGCCAGACATGTCCGCACTTGTTTGTTCACATTATCTGTGACATGAATTTAATTGCATCATAATGTCTGTACTATACAATGTAGACACTTATGTAGCCTAACAAGTGCATACAGGTCTGGCGCCGGCATCAGATTATATTAGTATTCAAAGTTATTTCTGACTGTATTTTAGTCTAAAACATAATTTAACTTGAAACAGTTTCGAGGTAAGTTTTAGTATTTACCATTTTGGATATGGAATAGTTACTATTTGATGTAAATGGAATAAAGTAAATGTATTAGATATGTGTGTTATTTATTTCTATACTTTTGAATTTTTCGCCCACTCTCACGGCGAAACACAATGTTAGTGTTCTTTAACATAAC